ACGTCATAGTCAGGTAGGATTCCGTCGTTTCGGATCTTATCCCAGGCAACGCCTACCGCACCGGCTGTTCTTTTCCATCCAACGAGCTGAAATATTAGTAAATAATAGAGAATCTAGCATTTCCAAATTCATAGCACTATAAATTCATAAAAATAAAAGTAAAATTGAAAATAAAGATTACTTCAGAGAGCAGTGAGTCGTCATGGGCAGACAGAAGACCGACGTTTAGTATCTGAAAGATTCCTATTTTTTCAACTATGGAATAAACTCAGGTGACATCAGTTAAACTTCTAATGGTCGGTGTCGGGCAGCAAAGCTGCTTATTGGGATCTACTGGCTCTTGAGCGAAGAAGAACAGCAGTTCTCTACACAATATGCTCCAATTTTGATCGTCTTCGCGTAATGTCCCTACGGGTGGCTCGTGGTCTAATTAGGATTGTAGATTTATTCTTGGCATGGATACCAAGGGCAAATATCAAACTTTGGTACTTTTCCAAAAATGCCGGATGCACACCAGCAGACAGTTTAATTCGCGAGGTTGGAGGCAAGAAACTACTGTAGTAGTGAGGGAGCACTACTAGGACACGTTTTCGTGAAGAGATTCTGAGCAACTAACTACAAGCTGGTGGGCTCGCATAAACATAAGTAATGGATTATTTATGAATGAATGACACTTGAATAGATTAGTTTTTCTACTCTCCACAGGCTTTCTGTCAACGGGGTGTGGTCAGTCGCAAGAATCGTGGAGGTACTTTAAACCTAGCAACAAACGAGCAAACGTCTGTTCGATCCTCCATGGTTAACAATTGGTTGTCAAGGCCATCTGGAAACTTTGTAGAATACCGTCACCTTGAGTTTTCAGAAACACTATCCGCAGATAGTAAAGTCATTCTTAAACAATCACCGCACAACACTGCTAGCAATCTTCGTTCATTATCTGAGGCCATAAAACGTCTTAGGTTGAATGAGGTCGTAGTATACCAATCTAAGGCGAAGATGAAAAATAGTTATTAATTAAATGGCGAAATACTTATCATCCAGAAAAGAAGGATCTGCCAAGAGATGGTAGTGACGTAGACTTTGTGGAACTTTTATCTGTTGACGATCAACATCATTCACATGGACTTTATTATCTCAAAAAGTCGCGCTGCTCTCCAAAAAGTGATCCGCAATGAAAAATCTTTTTATACAACTGGTCTTAGAGATTGGGACGAAGAGGAACCAGAGCAGTAAGAGCAGGGAACCAACGAAACAACGATGGAAATTAACAATTGCATTTCCGTTCACACCAGGCTTCTTCTATCGGTTTTCATTTCTCGAGAACAACGAGAATCGCTGCTGGATTCGGGATTCACACGACTCACATAGAGATTGGCTACCCAACCACAAAAGTTCTCTATAGGAATGGTTGTTTCATCGATTATCTGGAGAACCCACAAAAAGAAAGAACTCTGGAAATTCAAAATTGCACTGAATAAACTCATCAGTATTTAGTATTTCAAATGGCGTCCACTCCAAGTATAAGAGTTTACTCGACGAAAGAAAAAACTGAAGTATGGATGGATCTTCGGGCAAACTAATAATTAGGCACGATCAACTAACCAAATAATCGCGAACGACGGGGTGGATCTTTGCCACTGCTTGCTCAGCTCTTAAAACACTTCATGAAGAGCATGCCAGCACGAGTATCAAACAATATTCTGCTTTAAAAACAAAAACTTTAAGACCGTGAGAGTGTAGAGAGTGGCTCTCTCGTCCCTGCCTCAATTGTTGACTACGAAAAAGGACTGGACAATATTGAAACAAGCGCTATGGCTTCAGCGTCCACCAACCAATCCCCTAGACAAGAAATATTTAAGAACTGTAGCTAGATACACTGTAAAAGAAGCTAACATGACAGAAGTTACCTATCATCGATAGTATGACAAAAAAGTATCTGTCTTATTATTAGCTATTCCATCGACCACTTACTACCCTACAAGAGAAGTCCTTCAACAGGGAGAGTTGGTCATACCGCAATGGTCCACCTCAATATTAAAATAAACAGTGAGGCCACACGAAATGAAAGCAACAGGCATTCGCACTGATAAAATCTTATCGTCAGTCTTGGAATCTCCTCTGAGAACTGCTAGAAAAGCAGAGATCAAGCTTAGGAAGCTGAAAAATTAGGGACGACAAAGAGGTCTACACAAGAAACAGACGAAAATCCAGATTTATGAATATTTCCCGTAAGGTAATGGGGAAGGATTCGAAATAGATAGGTCTACAAATACAAGGATCACACCTGTCTTTACCTAAGGCACTCTGAGAAGATGATAGTTGACGTGGTCCCTATATACACGAACATAGACAACAGACACACACACACACACACACACACACACACACACACACACACACACACACACACACACACAAATCAGGCCAATTTTAACAATTCAGAGGTTCGGACATCTCATATTTTCACCGGGCAACAAATTTATAAATGACGTGGATATTGCAGTGGATTTCAACTAGACTTAGGCATTATGTAAAATAGGTATAACGGTAGTCCATCAATGAATAAGATCTCAAAGAGATCGACGAACCTTTGACTGCAAGACAACGATGAGAGTGACCGCTGATATGACGATAGTGGTTATCATACGTGACTTTTACTATTGGTGTCGGCCATTAGAGCAGTGAGTATTAGTAGCGGAAGGTCTTCTTATAGCTGATTTGTTTGAAACCTCTCAAGCTGATTCGGAGATGAATCCCAACGCTTCAAATGCCAAAAGCTTAAGTAATCAATTCCTCAGGAAAAGCTGATGGTCAAAAATCATATCACGTTGCCAGATGAAGAACTTTGTTTTCAAATGGCTCACTTTTTCACAAATTTACAGCCGGTGAGCATTGTTCTTGTGCTCAGTGATAACCCTATGATTTAATTCAATTAATAAGAGGTTATATGGACGTAGACAGATGAGGTCATAGTGTTTGTGAGACTACTTGGTACTTGATACTTGAACGGCCCATCCTCACTGGTTGTGCGGGCCCCAGTACAATCTCCACTTTTCGGAGATTTGCTGTTTAAGTCACTGCTGTTCCTTGGAATCCCAAGGTCAGCCTGCCCAAAGGCTGCGCTAGGTCATCACCACCAGATGCAGTTGCAGCCGTTGTGGGTCAGAGGGAGATTTGGCACCATGCGACTTTGATACCAGGACGGTGACGGATCCTGGTACTGGTATACTCCTAGGTGGATGTTCTAATGGAAACGTCGGACTTCTTCTCAGCATGGGAGACCCTGCCAAGGGAATCCTCTCGCAGTACATTGCCGCCGGACAGCCAGTAACGCCTCCCATTGTGAACCATTGTGAGAATAGGATCACAATGAAGAATAAGCATACATGACAATACTATATTCCTCTACACCTTTTTTCCCAGTCTTATATACTGCCCAATATCACGAGTGATAATGAGGCATTCTTCCCTGCGGTTCATTTTTGGATTTCTGGAATTAATCCAGAACGCCACATATTTGATTTGACCTTAACAGGATTTTTGAGTAGTTGTGTTTTAACCTATGACTGAAGCTTATTTGTAAACCTGTATTTATGCTGTGAGTGAAATGCTGCACTGCCTGGAAAACATCGCGTAATTCGATAACCAGGGACCAGATCGTTCATGGCGATCTTCGCATTCTTGTTGAGCAAACGCGAGGTGTTACTTTTATTCTTTACTCACGAATAAGCTGACGTTTCGGCGGATTTCGCCTTCCTCAGAGCTTGGAAAGGTCAAGTTGACTGCAATCTATTCCGTCAAACACCTCCATAACCAAACAGAGAAAACGCTGAACCAAGATTTCAATCACATTGAACACACTCACCGCTTTCTATGAGGCCTCCACTGAGTATGTCGCGTGAAGATCAACCGCACAGAATTCACATGGAAGCGTAACGTGCCCCTTCCATCAGAATAACAGTCTTGTATACTGCCCAATATCACGAGTGATAATGAGGCATTCTCCCCTGCGGTTCATTTTTGGATTTCTGGAAATAATCCAGAACGCCTCGAGAGTTTTGCGCGCCTGCGTTCTCGATTCTTGTGCGAGCTTCTTCAGAATGTCGTACAGATCGATTTGAAGGCGAATGTATCTAATTCAGTGATTTTTACACAACTTAAAACTGCTCGTGAAGAACAATAAGCTCGAAAATTCCTTTCCTTCAGTGCTACCCGAACCATCCCACACAAGAATATTACCCATCTAGGAAGACGATGAACTATCTCTGCTTTTCCATTGAGTCTTCATACTGTAGTATGAAGACAAATCATTGATAATCGGAACAAGTAATTGCATTTCTTTGACAAGCATATGAGACTTATCTATTAATCGCACATATTTATAAACCTTGTAGATGTACGATATTCAACCAATAATAAGATTTCGCCTACTGATCTATTTCTTAAACAGGCGTTTTTTTAAAATAATGCCTCGGGTTTTTGAAGTGGGTGGACGTAGCACAATGGCTGGAGTTCCTCTGTGATGCACATAATTGGTTTGGCTCCGAGCCCTGGCTGACCTATAGTCCATCGCGCCAGCAAATTCGTACCAGAATTCCAGGATAGGGTGTGAGATACTGGCTTAATATATCCATAAAGAAACGAAAGCAAATGAATTGGCCAAATATAAAATATGTCACTTCTACGATGTAATTAATCAATGGAACCGAATGCATAGTGCACTCCTGAGGAATACACTGACACCAGCAGCTATAACCTGCAATCTTCGCAGCTTACCATCATTGTTTATAAACGCAGAGTTGTTCGCACAAACTATTAGGGCACTAGCACGAGTGACATAACCTTCACGACCCTCTTCGACATTTTCCTTCTGGCAATTACCCTCGAGTTATTTATGAACAATAGGGCCAACTCCTCCCACCAACACTAGGGCGAAATTCTGCCGTGTATCAGGTCCTAATTTTATTTCTGACTTAACTGTTGGCTGTATTTCGTCTATAATGAATTATTCCTTTGATTCTGATGTGCCTACCTGGTCACTCAACGACAAATCACTCCTCGCACTTCAAAGCTACGTTGATGGTGAGAACTTGGAGAACAGAATATGTGACCAAAGTGAGTTTATGTAGTTTCAGTAGTGATTTTTATTGAGGATTTATGGTAGGCAAATAAGACCTTTGTAAGGATGTTCACTTTCGGTTTAAAAAGTAAGCATAGTACAATTATATAAGGATTTCAGCAAGTATTACATTCAATTCTGAACCATTGACAACCGTACATGACGAGCCGACCTACGTGAACATTTGCTCCGGGGAGCAGTCCAACATCACGCAGATGTCTTCCCACTTCGGTAAACTCTATAGCTTTTTTCGTTCTCGAATTCTTGAATTAGCAGATGAAAGCTACTCAGTCCACAGATATTTCAGGCGATCGGTTCAAAGGTCTGTTCTTGTTCCTACGAGAGACGAACGCACACAAGTCTACAATCACTTCTCTACAACAAAACGTTGAAGAACTAATGAACGTTCAAAGTAACTATGACCTAGCCACTGGGAACAACGAGCAATTTGGCAGGAATATAGCCATATTCGGTTCTCTCCTATTGCATTTGCAGCTATTTATTTTCAAAATACTTAACTGCTAACAAATACTGTACTTTAAGCAAAAACGATCGATAATCGACTACGCCAGATGAGAAGGATTTCCGAGGAGCAGTTCAACATAGTCTCGAATAAGTTGACAAAATTGGAGAAGAAACAGCGAGGAACAAGAAGCGATTTCGTGCCTTCGTTTGGAATGCTCAGAAAACTGATTCGAAGACTTCTCACCGGGAAAAAACGGGTTGTTGAGTTCAAGACACGAAAAATGTAAGAATTTTAGCATTTTGTGAGAAAACTATACAACGATGTTTAACAGATAAAACAATTATGTGGGAAATTAGGTTCCTGATATGTCAAATATTGCTAAGCGTTAATTATTCATTTTAAAACCAGCATAGATGTAAATTCAAGGAATGTTTATCATAGTTGGTAAATCTGATTTTGTGGACGAACTCCATGTTAACCATGTGTAACGAATGTGTATTGAAACAATGAATGACGTCATAATAAATTTATTTGTTATCAGTTGTACCCGTAATACCATCTGACACCGTCGTGCCTATGTCCCGTTGAAGAGCCCGCAGAGACTTCTTCGTCGCAATTAAATCAGCTCCTTGCGCATCCCTGTGTATGGTACAGTTAACAGTTAGAGTTAGGTGAATGCTAGATCACATCAAAGAATGGTGCTAATCATTTTTAAGTGCTTTGAAAGACTGAAAAAAGTTCATCCCCTAAAAAATGAGGTGATTATTTATGAATGAAATAAAGGGATAAAGCTCTCAGCGTTGCTCAATGCTTGAGGGATTGCGCCATGCATCCGACTTCATTAACAATCGTTTGAGGTGATTGAATGCATATCTGACCTTCACAATGACTCGCGGTGGCCTAGCGATGTGTCGAGCCAGTGCTGCTACCCTCCCACAAAAGTCTGAAACTAATTTGTCGACCCGGAGGGATGTAGGGCTTGGTAGACCTCGGGCCTCGAGAGGGATCGATCCTATGTGTACCGCACGGCGCCTCCGAACACTGTGCTACACGCGCCCGGTGATGTGATTATTAAGCAAGGGAAATGAAAGATATGGCAGTAATTCGCATAAGAATAGTTAGCTCTGTTAGAAAATGGTGAAGGTAATGGAAGGCACTTTTTTAACATTTAAGTTAAGCGGTACCTAAAGAGAAAGTAATGAGCAGCTGACATTACTGCCCTGTCTAACTAAAAATCACAAAAACACACTTAAAGAGAACTATTTGCTGGGCAGAAGTGGAAAGACATTTAAACATTTTTAAGACATTTTTTTTCTGATTGTTCAATCAATGCCGAGGTTAATAGAAAATCGGACGTGGGAGTTACATTTAAAAAGAGTTAACAGAAAATCATTCTCATGATTGTTTCGTATTTCAAGGACTCTCCGTATGTGTTAAGCTCATGAACAACCCATAAACGTGATGAAACAGTAAATAACATACAATTTTGCCTTATAGGACACGATTTGCTGATTAGCCTGTCTTATCTCCTCAGCAAGTCGTTGATTTTCCAATGCGTAAGAAAGACAATCGGATCGAGTCTGAAAATTGGGAAAAGAAGTGACCTTGTTACTGCTGCGGTGAAACATCTGAACCATAAAAACTAACTTGGGTTAGTAATCCTTCGCTCTCCTGTAAAGAAAGTGTCAACTCATCACATCGTGCTCGTTCAAGAGCCAAATCTGTTGAGGTGCGCGACAAGTGGTCCTCGGTCTAAATTCGTAAACAGGTAACGATTAGCTACAATGTCTCATATTACTTATGACTAAGTTTTACACTTTTAGTTGAAATGTTCGTTACCTATACATTAAGAAAATAATCCGCCCATACCTGTTGACACATTAGTTCAGCGGCTCGTAGTTTACAACCTAATTCATTAATCTGTTCATCTCTCTCGAGTACCTCAAAAAAGACGAAATCAAATTTTAAAAGAACGTTTCGAAAGTGAACACGGAGGATACCCTGAACTTTCAAGACCAAGGTACCTCTCATATCGGATAATTTCTGAATAACTTCCAAGTTCACAATGGTTATTGTCACATCACTTGTTCCCAAAAGAAAACTAATGATCATAATGAGAAGTGCCAACAATAATGTGGTCCCCAGATTTTACTATGAGAGCAAAATTGATGGACGAACTAACGAAGATCTTCAAGTATTGAAACGAAACATACCAACTTGCGACTTTTATCGAGATCATCGTGTAACGACTTCGATATATTAATCTCCCTTTGCAGTTGAACACGAAGATCCTCAATTTCGATTTCTGATCTCTCCAGACACAACTGCAAGAAATACCTTTCACATCGATTGCAGTGGTATGAACACTTACAACGGATGAGTTAGACACAAGAGGATTTACGATTTCCTCTGATTAATGGGATGGCCTCTAACACTGAGTTTTCAAGAACCAATACTTCGATAATAAAAAAGAATAAAGAAGAGAGTCTCGGCATTGATCAATCCCTGAGGGAAGCGTCGTGCATCCGACTTCACTAAGCATCGTTGGAGATGATTGAATGCATATCAGGCCTTTACAATGACTCGGAGTGGATATAAAGGTATCGGGCGAGTACTGCCATCCTTCCGGACAAGTCTCGCACCAATCTGCTAACCCCGGAGGGATGGAAGGCTTGGTGGTGAGCCTTGAGCGCAGGGATCGATCTAACGTGCATTACGAGGCGCCTCTGACTACAACGCTGCAAGCGCCCCTAGTACTTTGATACACCAAGAAAATCAAACAAGAAGTAGGATAATAAGTGAACGTTGTAAATGTAGATATTTCTAAAATTTACTTCTGTTTAATAAACATCTCCGTTCTTAAGCAACTAACCCAAAGTTTTAAGTACTTTTTCTAGCCATTGTTAAGTGATACCACTATTTTCAGCAAACGATTTTGTGACGGAGGTAACATGCCACTGAGAAACTATTGACCTTATTAACTCCTCGATAGGGAAAACATCTAGCGCATCCGTTCAGAAACGAGGAAAAGAGTTCTTGGATGACGAAAAAAAGATGTTATGCGAATGAAACGGTTCACGATTTTCAAAAGAAATATGGAAGTAAAAGTATCACGACCTGTTATCATAACTGAATGTTGGTATAGTGAAAAACGGCAAGTAATAAATGGAAAACGAATACCACACAAACCGTATGGCAAGATTCGGCTATACAGGAATTTGTTACCTCAAAAACTAAAATGAAGTATGTAGTCCTAATTATGTTATGATCTCTTAAAAATAAGTATTAGGAACTAAACAAGAAAGCCCCTGAAGGCTGTACCGAGTGCACATCTGTTAGTTGTTGAACTGATCCTGGGAAGTGCTTGTTTACCAGCCAACTTGAGAATATTCCACCAAACAGATTGAGATGATATGTGAGAGAATAAGTAGTGATTGTGGGAAGGTAGAGCAGCTCACCCTTCCTTCGCTATACGACGTAAATTTTATGGATATGAGATGCGGCTTAACGAAGTCGGAGAGTTGCTATAGCACTTCAGTATGCAACTTCTACCTTAGCAAATCTAAAAGGGCGAGAATTGGAGAAAACACCTCAAAACAACCAATTCATCCACTAGTTCTCAGAATTCCTTCCCAGAGATTGACTATGTTCTACCAATCATTTCTGTTAATAAGATTCATTTCTGTTAATAAGATTAGACCATATCCATATTGGGCGCACGTGGCTAAGTGGTTGGAGGCGCCTGCAACACACATGGGATCGATCCCTGCGCCCCAGGCTCACCATGCCCTCAATCTCTCCGGAGTCGGCAAATTATTACCAGACCTGTCTAGGAGGATAGCAGCACTGGCTCGATACATCGGTAGGCCACTACGATGTCATTATAAGGGCCAGATATGTATTCAGTCACCTCCAGTGATACTTAATGAAGCCGAATTCATGGCGCATCCCTCAGGGATTGATCAACACCGAGAGCTTTACCCTTTTAGCTTTTACACCCAGAGTATTCTAGGTCATTCCAAATCTATCTGAGAATTCCCTACCGAAAAATAATTATGAAACAGACAAATGTATCAGTGAATCCTAATTTACAAGTTTGGACAAGAAATGATGAGTAGCAATAACAGCTTGCAATGGAGAAGATCAGCCTGAGTTAACTAATTATGTAGTTTTATACGTTAACTAAAGCAAACAAAAAAATGAAGTAGACTTCTTAATTAAAGAAATCTTGGACTTCCCAGTATACCAATAGGGATATTTGCCACGTGATACAACATTTCCCTGAAAGCATTGCAAAAGAAAGGAGCACATTTACTGCTATACAAGGCTAAGGATCAAACACATCGCAAGCACTAAACCTTAGCGATAACTGGTACAAAAACCTTGTAGTAATAATTGAAAAAATACCCGCAAAGAATTATCCACAGTATCCCCTGACTTTTTCAATGAAGATGTGTGTTTCTTCCGAGACTGATCAAGTAATGAGATTGCTTCTGCCGTCTTTGAAGAGCTTGGTTCAACCTAAGGAAATCATAAAATGTAAAGAAGAATGAAATTTCAAAGAGACACATACCAGTTCAACGAGCCTCTCAAATTCTCTGCTCGACGCCTTTGCTTTTTTATACTTCCTCTCTAATTCGACACATCGTTCTTGCAAAGTTTCTTTATCACGAGCTAGACACTTCACCTCGTGATTCAGATCGGACAGCAAGACCTCTTGCTCTATAAATCGGTCGCGACTGTTCCTGACATGAAAATTCGCAGCATTTAATTCAGATATGAAAGTTATAAAAATAACAGATGATCCCAGAAGGAGTAATGGCGGGTTCCATCCCCACCGCGGACACCTGAGGTCCGCAGTTTTGCAAGAGTCCCAGAATCATTGTCCTTGTATTTCGAATCATACCCCTCCATAGAAAGAGCATAGCCAGTTAATAAAAAGTGACTACAATGTGATTAATACACAAGGCTTTACGTTCCCTCTATATAGCTCTTAAAACAATGAACGAACTACTTCGTGCCTTATGCTTAAGAATTTTTCTGTTTCCTCACATGTGTGGGTGTTCTTACGATTTTAGAGGGTATAAGGAGATATCAACGGAAACAAAACTAGTGGACGTACGTTAAAGGCTATCGTTTAGGTTAAAGCTACTAAGGTTTAAGGCTATAAAGGTTAGATAACTGCATTACCGCATGAATTTAGGAGTTTAGAGTATGTCAGATGCTACTAATGGGATAGCTCCATGAGTTAGAGAACTTCTGGAAATGTGAACAGGGACTTTCTAAGAAAACCAAATTCTGTATTTAGGACTAAAACCGCTAAAGTCTATAGGAATAAAACATATCCTACCGATACTGCTGAGCAATCTCTATAAGCTGGGTGCGCAGAGTGAGATTTTCCACTTGCAAATCGCATGAACGAAATCGATCCAGTTCCTCGGATTGTCGTCTTATGACGTCATTCGCTTTCTCTGAAATAGAAGAGTTCACTGATGAGCATCCTGGCATTTCCATGTGTATAGAACTTTGGTGGTTAGCCAGACTGAATGGCAAAGTGTTGAAGAAAGCGATGCTTCCGGAGGAATTCAGCAAATCCAAGCAATTCATCATTGACAGGGCAAGTTAGCAAAACAAACTCTATGCAGCTCCTTCAAGCCTTCATAACAAAACTTCATAGTGCTGCAAAGTACTAAAATCTCTAAATCTACTTATGAAAAGAACACATGACTTAGTAAGGTGAACGTTTTAAAACCCTCTTAAGTAACAATAAAGTAATGAAACTCACTAATGAGATTGGCCAAACGCTATAACATAGCTCACACTATTAGTTCTAGCATTTCTGCTAAAAACTGAATGAAATCATAGAATAATAAAACACAGGAAGGTAAAATAACTATGAGTCGGTTACTGGAGAAGGATTACTCAGAAAACATGAATGAACGAAACCATTGATTGTTGGCTCGAGATTTGTGCTAAAGGAGCGCAGTTTAGAAACTCCAATCGGAAGTGACAGTGACAAAAAACGAACCAAGCCAGTAAAATGCTATAGATGGAGTTGCTAAGGACAATTTAGGGCCTCAGGAAAGAACTTAGACGAAATTTACATCTAGTTATGAACGAACGACACACAAACACTTACCTAGTTGGGCAATAATGTAAGGCGGCACATTCATTTAATCGATTCACAAGCCGTCGTCTTGTCTGAAAGTAGTAGAGTAGAGTAGTATGGGCTAAATTCTCTTAGGCATCTGAGAGATTTAGCGGATTCGAATCGTTGAAGAAAACACGACATACTGTAAGGATATAAATGCTAGTGATTATTAGAGAGACCCTAGAAGGAAATATATAGCTCTAAGGAAAGGGAACGGAGGAAAATAACTCATTTTGATGACTCATAAAGGACTTTATAGGGCAAAAAATAACCAATAACTGAAATGAGTGTTCTAAAGAGGCGCGATTTACTAGCATCGACTAGCATTCGCCTCATTAAGACGAGGGGGAGAGGAGAAGAAAGCAGATAATGATGCCAAATCCTAAAAGAATGAATTGAATGAAAAAGAGGAAAGAAGAAGAATAGTCTTAGGAATGACCCCATCCTATCAGGTCCGCATGGGATTGGTCCTTATGGCGATGGTAATCAGAATTCTCGCACCATCTATGAAGAAAATTCGATGTCCATTCATCACTATAAACGAATTGTCACATTTATTCTGAGAGCTAACATCGTCTGATGAGGATTGAAGAGGAAAATGATGTTCAGACGATCAAATAAACGGGTTGAGTCGATATCAAAACAAGTAGAGTAGTGGCCGAGAATGGCAGATGTGAGACGTCCGAACGACAGATGTGAGCGGAGATTAATGGTACGGATAGGGTACCATCTTTGGGAATGGAAAGAAAGAGAAGTAGAACATAATAAGTAGACAGAAGAACCACAGACATCAGACTACATTAGAAAGTGGCTGGATCACTTCCTATAAAGTTGCATGGTTGTAAAATGTACTGTTCACTCATTCCTGTACCGACCCAACAAGGAGATCACCACCTAAGTGGGCACGAGTTAGCAATTTCAAAGTGAGCTTGGCCAGTAAACCAAAGAAAAAAACCTCCGAACCACGTTTTCTGAATATTACGGCTCAAGTGGGACTAAGCAATTCAGACGTACCAAAAATGTGTCATCGTTGAGATGCAGAAGAGCACACTTCGAAAATGAAACCTCGAGAGGAATCATCTAAGGGGAAGAACTAACTAGAGCAGAAGAAGAGTGCAGTGAAGTCCAGGAGGATGTAGGCGTTCTCTAGGACGACCAAGCAACTTCCTTCTAGGATGGGCGGACGTGTTTGTGTTTCACGTCAATCGGCTGTATTCGTAGCTGGAAACGATTTTGGATCATAAATGACACTCGCAGACGTCCCATACTCGAAATAGGTCATCACTATAGAGAACGATTACAACGTAAAGGAAGCAATGGAGATGGTCCGAAAGCTTTCTAGGGAAGATGCACCAACCAATTATTGAAGTATTAGATACCTAGAAAATCTTAATAAGAGGCGAGACGTTTCAGGTTTTCTTACGCTTCAGAGCTCCAATATAAACATATTTCTTATAATAAGTATTGATGGTTTCTCACCGCTGTTGTCTGGAACACTCTTACGATGGAAAACCCAACTTGACAACACAACATTCATTCGCTTGTGTCCTCGTTTTTCGTTCATGAAAGAGACAGAGATTTTATAGAGGGCATCAAAGACACTATAACTCTCATTCTGGTGAGAATCTACGGATGAAAAGCCCCAAACAAAAACAAACTCCTCAAATTTCTTCCGCGAAGTTGTCGGCAAACTGACAAAAAGTAATAAGCGCGGCGCAGGGCGGTCAAAAACCACACTGCGGCACACTTGAGCGGCAACGATTGTCAATCTGAGGGTCCGGAGTGGAGTGCCTGCATAGTTTTGTGGAATATCAAAATATATAAAATGTTAATGATCTGGGAAATTCGGACATCTCTTTAATTGGACTGAGTTCGGTTTGATGATCGCTGCGACGAGTCCATTTTCGTCCACATTTGGGCAGTCAGTGGATGTCATTCAGTGATCGATATCGAGGTCAACTTTATATCTTCGTGATTTCGGTTGTAACCAATATTTGGAATATCAGATCAGATCTCAGTGCACTTTCATCTATTGGAAAACGGATGTGATCTCGTCAATGAAGTCAAATTAACGAAAGAGTAGATGAAAGGAGATGATGTGAACCTATAGTGGTATTCCGTTGGTGACCTATTTGCTGAGTTTGACTATTGTGCTTTGTCTCCAAATAAGTATTAGATATTAACTTATGCCAATATATATTTAAGCCGGATTTAGAACCTTAAACAAGAAATTAGGCCAAGCAGAAGAACGAGCAACGCGTGTTCTTTCACTGATGAGCTAAGGTGAAGTTGACGAAACAAACCTTATTCGGCTAATGTTCCGAGGTCGTCGTCTTTCTAAGGGCCGATTTTAAGAAAGAGCAAGTTTAGCCAATTCAAATATGTGATAAGAACGCGTTATTTTGCGAATGACCGGAACCCAATTAACTAATAAACAACACGTTTGGCGTTGTTTCATAATCGCAAAAAATACGCCACACATTCGATTCCATTCGTGGCATCGAATGCATATTCGGCCAATAGAACGACTTTTCGGGGCTTATCAAGTCAGTGTTTTTTATTCTCCCAGACAAGTGCGGTAATAAATTGTCGCTCCCGGAAGGATAAAGAGCTTGCTCAGTCCGAGGCACCAGATCGGAGCAAAGTCCATTTGCATCGCAGGGCACTCTAATGATTGTTTCAAAAGAGCCAATGAGGTTCCAAATGCACTTCCGTTCCGTTTGTCCATTAGGCTTGAAGTGTTCCCTCGATTTCCATAAAAACGCAGGATTTAACGGAAACCAAACCTGAAAACTCGCAACTTCTACCGTCGATTTTGAACTCACTGAGACTTCGTAATGTTGTGACAAATGTTTATTTATTGCTAAAGTAAAGAAGTAAATGAGCTTCTGCATGACGGAGTAGTCTTAACGACGAGTCTTGCTGCCCGACAGCCCGTCAGAAATCTATCATGACTTCGAGTAAACTACTCCATGTGGCGAATTTATCACTTTGACAGCGGATCTTGCTTTCTCCTCTGATTTCCTACCATAATATCAGCTGTTGTTTTCATGGAATTCGGTTACAACAACATCAATACGACGTGAAGGAACAGCATTAGGTATAAAGTTGTCAAGAGTTTTCAAGCACAAGCTTTTCACCATTTAACGGTGGTGATTATGCACCTTCTTTCACTCTTTAAATGTAACAACAATTCCAGATAGTCTTCCAATTAAGTCGCTAAATCGATGAAGAAGTTGCTGAGATCTTCTGGAGAGTTTTTGATGAACTGACATGAAGTTGCCAGTCATCGTTCCTGAACACTTCGCTTCTTCCAATGCTTGAAGCGGACCATATTAACGTCAGTGAGAAATGTTTTTTGCCATTCTATGTGAATTCTGTTCGAATACACTGTGAGGTCCCATTCCACAAAAACTGAGCCGAAGGCGAAGTGCTCTAAAGGAGGTAGAGCCCGCCAAAACATTTGCCAGTGTAAACTAAATGTTGTGCTACCATCTCCATGGTGGGTTACCAAGAACATTTCATGATGAGGAGAGTGGAAACAAAATCAAAAATGAGCGACGATTTTGACAAGTTTACCCTTTTTGTGGTATTTACTGGATTTCTTTTCTCCATCTCAGTTATTGGAACTCAGGTTTAATTATAGGAATTACCGCAGGATTTTATTTAGTGAATCTCGGAATAGTCCCACAACCAGTTACTTTTTAGCTGTCCAACATCCTAACCTTCTTGTTTTGCTTATAATTCCATAATGAGTCGAGCATCACTCACATCACCCGTTGTGAAGGCATTTTATTTCCATCGTCGGTCAAAACGACCAAGGCATTTATAAGGCTCTCAACCAGTTAACGTCATAGCGTGAAGGACTCCTATTCTTTTCACAACCGTACGTTTTCATGTCGTGAAAGGGTTAAAAACGAGTATGTCGATGCTAGCAACAATGCCAATTTTTGGCAATCCAGTCATGTCTAGAAAGTCACCGTCTGTGATTTCCTGGATGTCTTCATTTATTCAGTAGGTCTTCTTACGATCTTCGTTTGTTAAATCTCTTAGTCGAAATTGGCCATTAATATCGATATAGCAGAATATTCAAAAGAATGGAGAATCGAGGTAGTATTCAAGCATTCAAAATCTACACTAAAATTGACTTTAATGTATATGGAAAAAATCTAAATGTATTATTTGGAATAATGGGCTATTCGGAAATCTTGAAGTAGGGGGCGAAGAGCAGAGTGTTAGAGCTGCCGGGAGTTTCATGCGCTATATGGTCGTCTGGGCGACCCAGCCCAGGATCAGCAAACCTAACGTTCCTCCGGATTTGGCAGACGGTCTCAGTCGAGTATGAGAAATGCTAACTCCGATCTACTAAAGTAGGCAACTGCCTGTGAAGCTGTCCTGGGATCGTTCTAGCAGAGCTATTCCCAGATCAAGGAGGAACAACTCGACGAGTGTTCAATGGCATTCATGAAAGATGGTACAAAGTCCTCAACTAGCTGTACAATTCGCACATAAATCCGAAGGCTGTCGAGGAAGATGGATGCGAGACAACGAACAGAGTGAAGTGCTGGCATGCAAACAATGTGTGAGGTCGCCATAAATGTATGAATAATAAGTAATAAAGTTTTCTTGCGAAGGAACTTTCTTTGATCTTGGTATATCTTTTGAAGAACTTTCTTTAGAATCCATCATTGTTGTTCGCTTTTTCCCAGGACTGGAAACATTTCGTTCATACTGCAGAGTGCAGTTTAGAAATTTAATAAAATTAGTATTCTCAACAATGGAAAATGACTCATATTTTGAAAATCTGTCTCAGCAGAGGATGAACCTCGACTGCTCGATGAAGCCTGTCGCACGCGGCGTATCTTCGGGAAAATAAACTTCTGCGAAAACATGTAACATTGACTTCCTCATCGAAACGTGATGTCTTAGCAACGAAGATTGAAATGCTGAGATAGGCAGGTGGTAGTAGTTCAGTGAAAATCCATGAATAAATGTTTTAGGTGCTCTATCGCAATAACGGAA